GGGGGGGGGGGAGGGGGTGGCGGCGGCACTGAGACGCGACAATAAGAGATCGCCTCGTCGGCAAAAAGAGAGCGGGCCTTAGGCAAGCTTCTTCTCCGTATTGTTATTCGCCACGTAACCGTTGTTCGTTCCATTGCTGTAACAGCTGTTGTACTCCTTGTTGTAGATCGTCGCGTAGGAAGACACTCCGTTCTGCCTTGGCTCCTCGAGGACGGGCATGCAGGCACCTGTGTTACCGGTATCCTCCTCATCTTTGCCGCCATGTTTCCTCGAACCCCTGCCAGACTTTGAACTGTATTTCGTCTTGTAGAAGTCGGAGAACAAGCCGAGGAAGAGAACACCGTGAAGACCGATCCAGATCATGAAGCTACGTGGATAATCACATTCAGTGAAGAGCAACTGGAACTGGTGGGTCATGATGAGAACGAATTGCACCTAAAATAACCAAGATTAGTCGTCATTATTGAATATAAGTAACCAAAGAGAAATATATATTTTAAAAATCACTTCGGATTCCTCACCATTTGCAATGTGGTCAAGTACTTCTTCCACCAGATGTACTTCTGGTATTCTGGTCCCATCGCTGCTACCATATAATAAAAGTACATGATGATGTGCACGAAGGTGTTCAGCAAGGCGAAGAAGGTGCTGTGCCCACCCGGTGCAAACTTCATACCCATCCACACGGAGAACGGCATTACACCGTGATGAATTACATGGAGGGTCGACACGTGCTGGTTCTTCTTTCTCAGAATGAAGAAGAGCTGAAATTTAAATATAGGTAATTAAGGTGCCATTAAATTTTGTCTCCTTTTTTTTCCCCCCCCCGCTAATTAAACAATCAATCATTGCTACATAATTGCTAATTAAAAGAACACTACATCAATGTTGTCTGTTACACCTCTTTCTCTATTTCATACCCTAGCACCGCTTCACGATCAAAGTACGTAATCGGTACAAGAGTCAATTATGGGTCAAGAAGCAAAACCTTGAGAGCACTTGGCTGAAGCTAGATTATTAGCTGGTTACCAACTACGTAGCTTTGACCAGAGCACAGAAGAGCCCGTGAAGCCGTTTGTCGCGTCGCCGTAATTTCCGGGTCAAAAGTTCATCCGTCCTACATACAGGTGTCTATGATTATTCCATAGCAATTTAGCGCATCTTCAACTTTCATTGGCTCTTTTGTCCTTTGCGACGATGGTCGGTATGCTATTTCAATATTACGCGAGCGTCAATGTAAACGTAGACGCGTATCCTTGGCAGTTGTTTCCGCGAGGTGTAATGCGTAAATGAAAACCATCGTGCGGTATCGAATCAAGGAAAAATACAAGAAACTCGTTTCCCATTATAAGATATGCGTCTGGTGTCTATTACTCCCGTTTACAAAGTTCTTCGTGCAACATGATTGACCGATGATTAATCGGGGTCGTCAGGCCGAGTAGAGAGAGGAGATCACGTGATCGTCTTTAAGAACATTCGAAATTTCATAGCCTCTCGTGTACACCTCGGACGCTAAATGTTAAAACGAAAAAAACTTTTAGTTTGCACAAAATGTTTTCTCACCGTGTCGAAGAATTCGGTAAATTTGCTGAAATAATACCACCAACATGTGTTAGCCATTCTCAGAGCCATAGGGTTGTTAGAGTAATCGACTGGCTGACACCGGAAACTGTAGCCCCTCGCCCATCCGCTCATCAGGTACTGAAAAATGAAAAGAAATCAAATAAGTAAATTACAATGAATTACGCATCGTTCGATTAATTTAATTACGTCGTTAGCACCGTAACAGTCGCTAAACAAAATTGAGTCCACTGACATTTAAAGAAATTTCGTCAGACTTCAAAAAAAAAAAAAAAAACAATGTTCCAAGATACGTGACAAGCAACTATTTGTCTCTCGCGGGATTACAACGTTTGATTATTCATGACTTTACATATCTGTTTAAGACTTTCAAATAATATGTTAACACTAAACGTACCATTGAGCGGTCATTTGGCCGTTTTAAAGTAAAAAATACGTTTATAAAAAATTGTCGGTAGGTTTAGTGTCAATAGCGCAGACTACACAAGACTTGTTAAATCTTATAATCTAATGAATTCCGTCAATGACGTCCACAGTAGGAGTAAAAATATGAAAAAACGTAATATCAGTTATTAAGTGTGACTTGTAAGAATTCGCATACAATTGTAAACATGCATCGCAATGACTTATGCTAAGTCATATTATTTATCTACCTCCTGTCAATACATATCACCTAGAAATATGTTTACTGTGCAAGAGTCATTATGATTCCTGTTGATTGATCAAATTTAGTCACTTTCTTTTAGCGTCTTCAACATAGGGATGGCGACAACGATAATGATTACAGTCATGTGTCCGATGTTCGAGTGAGTAAAATATTCTCTGATTTACATATTGATGTCACAGCTACGTAATTGCATATTTTCGTATGTCAGGCCGTAGAACAAGAGCGTGCGAACGAGTGCAACGAATAACATTGAGAAATCCAAACGCATTAATTGGACAAATTCTAGAAGAACAGGCGCATCGAACTCAGTTTAATAAATGCAACGAAATCCTGACAGACAAACATATTTTACTCGCTCGAGTCCTAACAAGGCCGCAGTATAAATGTATCGGAGCGAGTTATGTGTCAAGGTCGATTTGCACTTAACGACTATTCGCGACGCTGCACCGCCATGAGCTTTTCTAGTCGATGTACGCGTCAATAAAGGATCATAAGACAGATACGATCGACGCTTAGTTTAAATTAAGCCAAAAAGCCTGAATTACATATTAGGATTACATGATTTACGGTAACATTCTTCGCGGTTCAATTTTACATCCTAAAACCTATTTACTCCTGAAGATGAAGTAGCGAGCTGTGAACGAGCTGTCGTCAACGTTTCGCGAAGGCTCAACGGATATCCGGATCGATCTACGTGCATTGACCAGGTAAGAGACATTCGAGAAAGACCAGAAGCGCAATACTGAGGTAGGTACCACTTCGAATAGCCTCCTCCACATGCTTGATCACACCTCCTCATCCTCCTCGTCGTGCACCTTCTCCTTTTCTACCGCCGGATCCAAGAAGAGCAACTCATTTACACCGGCGTGAACCCGACCAGCTACTATGCAGTTAACTAACCAAGGAACTAGCTCACCAGCTAACAAGTTAAACAGTTAATTAGCTGATGAAGCATGGAGGATGTAATCTAGGAAGATCGCGTGGACGTCCTTAGGGACGACAAATGAGATTACGTAAAAGTCTGGCAGGACGTTGAATTTAAAGTGTCGCTGCGCGTGGTTTCATCGAGGACACAGATATAGGATACGCGTATAACATTGATTAAAAATACGTTAGAGTAAAGCGCGACGAGTCTTCTGCATCTTAAGCGTCAAAGATGGCGTACAGGATACGTGTCTGCATCATCGAACTTTTTCTGTCGTTCAATGCTTGTCTCGACTGTCCGGATATAAAATTGGTAATGCTTCAGCCATCTGGGACGTAGACCTTCGCACGGAGACGCAGTGACTATAACGTACAATTACTTTAAGATAGGTTAAGCTAGTTTACGCTATATACAATAGGTTACATACTTCTTGAACGCTCTGTATCTGCACCCGTACGTGCTGGCAACTGTCGCATGCGTGTATAACTGTACAACAGTATGCACGCGACATGCTAAACGCGCACCGAATTCGATCCATACCCCGTTAAATATGTAGGTTGCGAGGTGGTTATGGGATCACGTGGCTGTTTTCGCTACTGTAGGGATCCTGGACCTTTTGGGCTCATGAGTGAGTCTCACCTCGTAGAAGATCCACGTGGAGAAGAGGGTCTGAATGAGATTGTAGGCGATGAGTATCCCACGCAGGTCGAATGGCTTTCTGTTCTCCATTAACCTGGGTCCCAGAACCCTGCTGAAGTATGCGTATGACAGACATATCGCTACAGTGGGGAAGGGGCTGCTCATCATCGCCCAATCGTTGATCCTGGGATCTAAAAAAAAATACAGATCACTTAGTTACTTGACATTAAAAATGTAAAAGAATCGCTTATAATTAATAAATAAAAAAAAAGCAAGGATCAACATTTAAATTAATATGTATAAATTGTATTGTCTCCAGGAAGGCGAACAAGGTGGAGCTACCCGGTGGTGATGGGAATCACGATGATCATGGAGACGGGAACGACGCTAGAAGCGATACGTGGCACGGCGGCGACCTGAAAGCCATGAACGGAGCGATTGAAATGGAAATAGATGAGGTCAGGTTGGGTCTAGGTTTTCCATGCGAACCGATGCCACGCAGATGTCTGTGCAGTTTCTGTGCTCGAGTGCCTGTGAGTTTTGAGTTTCGAGTGATTGGGAGCTGTCGAGTGAGCATGAGTGACGTCGGGGACGCCTTGCGCATATCCGACCTAGTGCAGATCATTTCGCTTCGTTCCACCTATTTCCTGGTAACAATGCAGTAATTAGAGGCAGGGCTCGGTAAGGGTAGAACAATGGCAAAATGTGGACTGCCCTTAGAGCCTATGAAAAATGTGTATTAAGCCAGCACTCCGTTATACATATCACTATGCACTTTCTTCATATATAATTCTTATTCCTTATCCCTTCAGCTTTCTATTACTGCACGTACTGTCCTGCGTGTACTAAATGAAATATATTTAATGAACATCTTCAATCTGAATGTGCTTCTGTAAATTCCCTCTTCACACAGTAATCTATACAGACTGGTATTAGAATGACGTACGTCGGATCACAGATACATAGATCCTCACTGGTATCATTTACCATTAATGAGTTTGCACTGTGCCATCGGCTCATTTACATTTTTATCATACTTGCAGTCATTCTATGACAAGTGACCGATGTCGTTAGAATAATAATCGCGAAGGTTATCGTGAAATTTGAGAAACTTGAAGAGGACGATTTTCAGAAATTATTTGTACGTAATAAATACGCAGATAATGACGTACTCCCCTTTCTAAAAAGGAACATCAAGTTTTCATGTCCCAATAAATTATACACAAGGTTTTCTTCTCTATATCAGAATGCTCGATGAATATTTTATCCGGTCACGTCCTTCCAGGTCGCTGCGGGCAGGTAAATCGCCTCGAATATTTCCAATGCGACGAGTAACGCAGAGAAAAGCACAGGATTATGAGATTTCGAACTAATCGTAAGAAATAATCGCACGCCCCTGATAACGTCCGACGGAACGAAGTACAACAGTATCTCCGACGATTAATAATTTAATAAAGTCTTCTAATCTGCTGTCACCGGTTGTTCAATGTCCCAAGAAGTCAATCAAGCGGCACAACTGTTGAGCTTGTGATAAGGGTTAATATCGCGAAAAAAAAAAATTATAATACAAGTCATGAATCAGCTGGCCCAATTCGTCACCATTGAATATTTGTTATCGTACACACTGAGCTGTTTTCATGAGCCTGTTACTTTTTTTAAGCGCATGCCGCCTTATCGCAAATACATTTTGAGGATGACGTGTAACTAATTGTGAACACAGACCGTCGACTTGCTGTCTGGTACGGATCTATTTGATACATGATACATGATCTCCGCTCTTTTTAAATCTCTACCGCAATGCAGCGCGGCGCTGGTGAAGCTTATGATTAAAAATTCAAGATGGCCGCGCCCGTACGACCAGGCATCTGCAATCGTTTTTGATTGACCCATACCGATTACAAAAACGCAAACGTATTCAACGTACTATTTAATCGATATGTTCTCGAGACACGAGCACCGTTCCGAAAACGTCACGACGTCGCGTCGGCCGACGTAGTTTATACGTCGGGAAGGAGCGAAATTTCTTCGATGGCGCAACGATGCTGACTCCGTGCCGAGCAATTTGCTGGAATAGCTGGAACGCTCGAATGCTCGGTAACCAAAAGTTCCTCCCTGAGAGTCGGAGCCGGCCAGTTGAAGTATCATCGGACGAGTAACAGAAAGTCTCTTTCACTGATTTCCATGAATCCTTGACGCACATCGTTACGCGAGAAGTCGTCTTAAGACATTTTTTCTTTTTTCCTAATAATACCTACAAGAAATAACCTTCGTACAGAAATTCCTTGTAATTACAGATAAGCATTACCCGTAACCTAACCTATCCGACTGCCTGTGTACCACCTCGTCTTCAAGAGTACATCGAGCGAAACGAATTTTCACTCGGCACTCAAAGTTCGGTGAAAGCGGCTAAATAAGCAACACCCGTTACAGCACGCAATGCCGGTTCGCGCGCATACCTTACGGATTCTCACAGGAACTTCCTTCGCATTGCCAATGGGAACGATGACATCGAGGACGTCATCGTCGTCATCGAGACGATTGCGCAAAAGGCAGTCACGGGTTAAACCATTGATCGAGGATCGATATTGGCTCCGGGTGACCGAGGTATCCAATCGACTAAAATGAACTCGGCCTAAGCCAACTGTGCGAGTGGCGACCAGGATGAACTTATTTTTTTTTTCTTTTTGAAAAATCGACCGTGCCGTATACCCGGTGCGTAGACTTAGACGGCATCCTCATGAAAACTTCTCTTGATCCACTTTCTTCGGACGACGTATACGTGGCCTTACGCAATCTTTTATTTCTCTTTTGCTCTTCTCAAGAATGCACTCTCGCCCAATTTTACCGGGTACCCATGACGCAGACATGTCCTTCGGTGGTCTGTAGGAATCTTTCCAAACTTTTCCATGAACGTGGTCCCGGGTTGGTTACAATACGTACAAGCATTCCGATAATTTCACTTATTGCCACACTGACCTGAAGCATTAGTCGAATTAACCTATAAAGTTTAATCTGATTAACCATTGTACTTTGCATCTGTGTTTCCGAACTTGGTACAACCTTCATCATACGTCACAGCTCGTGGTACATCGCTGGCGTAACGTTCTATTGATATAACACGTAAAAATGTATTGTCGTACGGTGCGGATGCGACACGTATTCCATTTCGAAAGTGTTCCTGTAGATTATGGTCAGTATAGGAAAGCGAAGGCGATGACGATTTCATAAGGTGGTACGTGTAGGAGGCGTGCAAATAAAAAAAAAAAAAATGATTCCTATACAAGAAGATGGCCGTGATGACCCTGAGGACATAGGATAATTTTGCAATACGGGTCTAGGATGAAGATGAATAATTGAAAGAGGTTATGTTTTCAAAAAAGGAAAAATATGTTTTTGTAGAAAAACAAATTTTTTCTTCAAACTCACCAGACTTATTGTCCATGAGGTCCCTGTAACCGTGCACCAGATCTGCCACTATACTCGTCATCTTGATGTTTCTGTAACACAAGGGTAAAAACAATTTTTATAAACAACTGTCACGTCACTCCTAATCAGAAGCTTCAGAACGTGTTATGAATCCACAAGTGCAACGGATCTTATGAATAAGGAAAAAGATTGATTTCAATGAAATTTTGCATATGGCGCAGATTGATATTTTCTTACTTAACGTCTGTGAGTTTAACCTGGTATTTCTGTACGGTACCAGAAGACGTCAAGTTATTTCGGCATACGCGCGCAATTCTTGTGCAATAGCTACCAAGTCGCAAATGCACAAGTATTCAAAAATTTATTATGATCAAACCAGACGAACATCGACATGATCGAATGATTTTATCAATTTTTATAAAAAAAATCTTTTCCTTTAACAAATAATACGTACAGATTGCTTTGCGTTAATTTTCCAAAAAAGAAGAGAATTAAATTCGTGCAATGGCGTAGAGAGTAGCAAACATATTCACGACCACTTCGGGAACCTAGAAAGACACGTGTTCCTCCTCCAGGAGACGAACCAGGAATAAGAAACAGGAATACAGGCTGTACCACGTGCCTGCGTATACGCATAACAGAGTAATGCAGCGCGACGCTTATCATGAATGGCTTGTAGACAGGCTACTGGTATTTAACGATAGAATGTATCTCCTCCGTGTTCTATTAATATCGAGCACGATAAAATATGCAGGGAGACGTCCGCAGTCGTCAGAACGTTCTGGCTTAATATCATAGAATATTTCAATAGATTAAAAAAACCCCTTAAGCGTGCCATTGCCAGGTCGACATAGCGTCACGATATTACGATAGCAAACCAATAAAGTCAAGTCTGAGTAGTCACTTGTTTAATATCTAAAAGCAAAGGGGGGGGGGGGAAATCAATCCAAGACTGTAAACCGAGGCCAAAACAATTTCCTTGCGGTTACTTGCTATTGTTTCATGACCAAAAAAAAAGTGCTCTACAAGAAAGCCACTAATAAGGCATGAATATCGCAAGACAAAGGATCTACGATGGTTTCCCTAAGAAATATGTAGATTTGAAAAACAATGCAAACCATTCAGAATATTCAATGCCGGTTCGCAAGTATCAGCCAAGTAATAGGACAATGGCGTAAGTACAGTATACACAACGCTCGCGTAACCCTGTGTCCCGTGTCAGCAAACAAGTATTTAGTTACTTTCTCGGAGTTCTTTTTTCTTCGGAGTACCCAGCCAACCTTACATAAGAGGAATCGTCGATCGAGAGAGGTTTGCCTAGGTGAAATGCGCCTAGATGACTCGCGAGACGACGGGGACCAATGCCGCTGAATACCAAGCGGACCTGTCCTCATCCTCTCTAGCGAAAAACCCCAGACATAAACTGTCAAGCAGAAAAGAGGCAGAGAAACTAGAGAGAAAAAAAATAAAAGAAAACCACGTGACTCTTCCCTGAGCATGACCGATACCTTTATTCTCGGTTCCTCTTCTGCTTCGTTACTCCGAGCAAACTATCCAGTCCCTTACTAGTTTTCACAAATAATGCGTCATCGTAACTGACGTCGTGACGTCACTTCCTCGACTTGACATCTATGACGTTCAGTGACGTCTCTATTATCTCATAGGTATCGCTATCTTTGATCTTTAACTATAACCTGAATATTGGTAATATTCTGTACAGGAAGTCAAAGACTAAGTAAAATAGCTAGAGGTAAATGGAATATTAAAACGAAAAATAAGATAATATAACAAAGAGATCCTCCTGCAGAGGGACGTTAACGATGCAATTTCGTTAAATGAAAAGCGCTTGGTAAGCCGGTTAGGAGAGGCTCGTTCCGGCAAATGAGTATGCTCATATACAGATGGGCAAACGCGTGAGCTAATGCTCATGTGACTGACAGTATCACGATAGTCAACGCGCGATGAGTAGACGCCAGTTGTGTGTCGTGTGCCTTTCTCGTATGATTGTAATCCCAGGCGCACGTGCGTTCCCTGCCTGAAGGAAGCGTATACGTGCTCGATACGCATGTGGGTCGCCGCTCGCGTTTCGTATATCATGTGGCATTTTGATATTGATTTTTTTTTATGCTCGACTTCCACAGCTCTCGTACAAAGCATCAAGCAGTTTGGTGAATTAGGTTCCTGGGTGGCAAGGTGACTGGGTCTCTGGAAGACAGTACCACAGTTCAGCACAATATAACCTGCTTTAAAGTTCTGATACGGAGACTGAGGAAACTGTTATCAGAGCCTTCATCCTGTTCTCGTCTTTTTCGATAAACGCGTTAATCATCCATGAGACTCGGAAGTCCTCGATAAACTCTGAGGAAAGAAAAAAAATGTTCAGAAAAGGTTCACCCCGTACGTTGACACCGCGAATATTCGAAAGCCTCAATTTCAAGTGAATGGAAGTGTCCGACGGGGTCTAGTCCAGGTACTTTGATACTATTGGAACTGACTAACTTGAGAAAAATATAAATCACTGCATTAATTTTACGGAAAAAGGAAATTTAAAAAAATCAGTATTTTACATTTTTCTTCCGGAACCTTTCGCAGTCTCTAATAGGTGAATTTTAGTGACGATCATTGTTACGTCACGCAATGATAATGCATCAAGGCGGCCGTATGATCAGGCTGAATTTTTACTTGATCTCTGTTTAAGTTTATGATGGTACGAGACAGAGAAAGAAAGAGAGGGGGAGAGAGAGAGAGAGAGAGAGAGAGAGAGAGAGAGAGAGAGAGAGAGCGAATATTTCTCCTCGAATATCAGGCCACGCCTCCGTCTTCGTAACAGCGTTTTTATGCAACGTTTCCAATTGCTTCGACGTCCACGTAATTCCGTGGCTGGTGTGTTCGTTCCTTGAATGTCTGTTAAGGAGACTATATTTCTCCTCGAATATCAGGCCACGCCTCCGTCTTCGTAACAGCGTTTTTATGCAACGTTTCCAATTGCTTCGACGTCCACGTAATTCCGTGGCTGGTGTGTTCGTTCCTTGAATGTCTGTTAAGGAGACTAAGAGTTCTCACATGGGAGTCAAGTAGGAAGGGAGAAAGTACGAAGGAAAGTCCCTCATGGTATCTCGGGCGCGTATCTTCTATCTCACTCTGTCTCGCTACGTCCAACGCTTCCAGTCTTCGCCGGAAGCGCCATGCCGGCTGCACCGGAAGTTAATCTGTTATACAAGCGCGTTACGTTGGCGTGCTACTTCTTAGGACGAAGTTCAACCTGGACATAAGTTTACGTATTTTCGGCAGAGTAAAGGTGCGAAACGCGATTTCAGCTAATTACGCTCGAACTTCCATTAAAGAAAGAAAACGGAATAACGATATCGTGGGAGCGTCCAACTCGGTTAGCTTAGATGAAATGAAATTCAAAATCAGTTATAACGGTTAAATGAGCTCGTTAATTAACATGATTGCTAACAAGTCACACGAATTTTTATATCTGTGTTCGGTTGTCGTGGGCGTTTTTGTAATTATCATAAAGCTTGTGCTGCCAAACGATTTGTGTGCTTTCTGTATAGTGTAGAGTGTTTAATTTGTGAATTGTTTCAAAGGATTCGTATAAGTAATCGAGTCAAGTAAATTAGTGCAAATTGTAAACAACGCGTTTTTTAAATAACGTTAACGCTTCAACATCGCTTTTATGAAAATGAATCGTAAGCAAGTGTGTATGGTGGACATAACCATCGCGTACTATATAACGATATGGATGCAACCAGGACCAAGACTAACGCAAGGCGGTACAGTCAACGAAATTACTTTTCCACGTTACTCGATGTCAAAATCGATTTTCTGAGAGAAAACGTTTGAGCGGCGACAACGCCGCTGTCGCCAGTGTCTCCGTTGTCTTTTCCTTTCTGGGGAAAGCATGGACATGCTCTTCCTCATACTTGAAATACTTTAATAGTTTTGTATCACTTTGTAGAGGTTGTCAACGTCATTTGAAATGTTCGAGATTCGAATTAACCCGCCGATACGGTCGGAACATGACAATTGCGAAACGTGATAACAGCTAACAGCATTGAGAAAATAAAAAACGAGAACTTGTCCGGTGGCAAACAAGTACTCAAGCTTAAAGTAGAATCTTGAGGTAACTGAGAAGAAGCGAAAGTGGATGCGGAAGTAGACCAACGAGAGCACTGGAAACTATGAAAGTACGATGTTAATTAGGAATATAACGAGATGATACGGACATAGCATTAATTGGAAGAGGATTTAAAACATTAAACAGTTATGCGAAGTCAGATGAATAAAACCATTTCCAAGCGCTGACTCAACGAGCGTCCTAACCTCAATCTTTCGATTCTAAAACCGTATTCACGCAACTATTTCGACACGCATTCACAAATATTTCGAGCTTTACACAAGGACACCTCGTTACACCCACCTGATCAGATGCTGCTTCTGCCACACCGTTAAACTCTCCTCTAATTCACTCCTCTTGTCACCTTCTCCGACACATAAACTCCTTCGTGTCGTTCCTCTCGTGCTCCTGTTTCCAGCAATTCCCGGTGCTCGTTGTACTCGCGGCCAACCGGCTTCACTCGACCAGACTAAACGTACGTTAAGCGTCAACTGGCGTCAACGACTGCTTACCCGTAGAATTTCCGCAAGGCACGGAAAAAGTTTATTACCTCGACGAACAGTTACTGACTTCTGCCTCAGTCTTCACTATTGAATCTCTTTGATTTTTCTCACAGCGATGATACAATCCACAAGAAGGACATCGAGTGTCACGAATTTATTTATTATCGTCAACGATGTCCACACGGTGTTCGCAATTTTTGGACAGGCGGGCGGTCGGTCGGTCGCTCGAATCAACTAACTAATCAGCCAACGACGAACACGCTTCTCCACGCGGCCGCACTTAACTGACGGGCTTCGTCTTTTCGCACGGACTATCGGCTGCCACTTCGCTCCGGCGATTTTCGTATAGGCGACTCACCTGCCCTACCCCTGCACGATTTTACCCTACCCTGACGGTTATGCCGCTTCACGTTCCTACGTCCGTCCGTCCGACCGTCCGTCCGTCTGTGCGTACGTACGCGTCAGTACGCGTCGCGTCGCGCCTCGTATTTGCTCCCTCCAATTCCCACCAGGAGACACTACATACCGAAGCTAGAAGCAACCTCTGCTTGGATCACCTTCGGATAGCTTCGGATGGATACGGCCATCCTCGGTTTATTTCGGTATTATCTTCTGTTACTTTTCAACGTTTCATTTTGTGTCGGACTGTCCTTTTCTCGTTGTCGGGCGCGCCTTTAAATAGGGATGAGTTCTTTTTGCTTCTCTACTAATATTTCTTTCAGCTTAGAGTTATTTTTTTGTGGAAAATTTATTATTTGTTTTCCTTGTTCTATCCAATGCTTTTCTTATGGGTACGGAAGATTTATATGGTATTTCGTCAGACCAATATAAGGAAATTGTTATCGGACTGCCATCTGATATTTCACTCGGCAACTAAAGGTATCTAGGGATATTCATTGGGAGGAGTAAAGTTAGCTCCACTGCGCATCCTACTGCGCATGACGTTGGCTATCCTGTACTTGACCTAAGGCATTTCCAGGGTTTATTTGCGGTTATGCAAAATATATTCAAAAAAATATTTAAAGAGGAATTCGTGTAATAGCTTTCCGATTATTCAAGGTTTTACTCTGCGTCAAAATACCTATATTTTTAGTTCTAGTCATCATAAATTTTATTTCGAATCTTCTTAATAAATTGATTCTTGATAAAAAAAACTGTATTTCCAATTCGACAAAGATTAGTAACTTTCCAAAGGAACACAGTATGACTATATTCGAGTAAAGTTTAATAACGATTCGTTATTCGACGATTCATAGAATATTTCCTATTAGACTACCAAATACAACATATTGCGACGCGTTTTCAGGAATTCCATGACGTATACAATAGTTCATTAAATGTCATACGTCGATTTTAATTTCAATCTTGTATCACTATATTGTCTTTAAAAAAGCTAACAACTGAATCTTGAATAATTATTCTAACACGTGTTAGTAATTTGCGTAAACGCTGACCCCTCTTGTTATTTCATTATCCAAAATATCGTGGAATGGCAATAATCAAGAATTCTTTACTTCCAGATAAACCCATTCTCAGGATACCAAATGACGTAATTTATAATTACAATAAAAATAAACAATATTTAAAAAGGAAAAGAATTAAACAAAATTATCATTTGATTATACGTTATCCCACGATAATCGCGCGTCTCAAATTACGAATGTAATAATTATTCATTCGCGTCATACCGACGCATATACATGCTATCGAAATCAAAACGAAGCAGTACATACAGGGTGAGCAACGGGGTAAAAACATGGGGTTATTCGTCTATTGCATAAGTTTTAATTTCGGTAATATATGCAAATATAAACCTAACTCATGTATAAGTTTGTCAAATGTAAATAAACTGCTAATTGGTACTCAACGACACTCACTACCTTGTCAGAAGTAACTTTGCCAAAGAATTGAAAATCCAATTGCCATTTGAATTTTCGTTTCGTTGCGTCTATGCAAAATCAAACCAACATAAATGTTCAGAATATATCTCGCGTGCTGTTTGCCAGATATTCGACTGTTGCGAAATATCTCGATTTCTGTAGAAGAAAGCGCCAACTCGAGTGGAATGAATGAGCGGCGAAGAGCATCGAGGAACATCAACGAGCGTCGATGAAGAGCAAGAAACAAGGAGAGTAAATCTGTCCGACCGTAAGAGGCCTGCGCAGACGTTATGCAAGTGTCAGTGGAAGCCATGGCGGTCAGCGAAAGTAATCTTGCCTGTTTTGAATGGCCATGGAATCCGCCACATCGTCGTTCAACGGTTCATTTCTTCCTTCTCGCAGCTGTTTTGCAATCGGGATTTTCTAGTGTCAAATTTATATGGGCAATGACTCGGCAGATATCGTGCACAGTTATTTACGTTAGTTTGTAACGTTATCGAAAGCATTTTTGTGCAATTTTTATAATCTCAAGGTCATCGTAAACTACGATATAATTGATTAAATTCATATGTCAAATTTACTTTGAGTAAACTAACTTACGTACCTGTTTTGAAATTCTTCAAGCTCATTCAAAATCACTCGAGTCAGTACGACACTACGTTACTTCTCTAGACGTCACTGCGAAGTGGCATATTGCGCACTGTCAATTCCTTTAATAAACAAATCGGATGCCCGTCAGAATTCCAGTTTCCGCTATTCGATCACGTATCATCGTTTACAAGGATGATCGTTAAGAGTGGACGCTCGTGAACTTTTACCCGTGAACTGTACTGCAATTATTTATACCAAATATTGCATGTCCGAGTATGTGTTAATTGACGTGGGCATTAATTCCACTTTGCACTTTTGCCCAATCCTCATTTTTAATTTATTTTTACCTTTTTGCAGTGTTTTTTGTCTCATTGCAAACCTGTTATGTTTGAAATCCAAAAACGAATTTATATTGGTCAATATTTGAGGTTATATCTTGAACTTTTATATTTTTATAAAAACACTTTACGTCAATCGATTTTTTGATATTTCATAAATGACAATCATAAGAATTATTACTTTTGGAATAACCCAAACATTTGCCAGCTCGTGAAACCCGCGAACTCGGAAATCCTTGAATCAAGATAAAAAAATTAAAAATATGTAATTTTAAGAATTTCATTTTTTCTACCTACATAAAGACATATGTCTAATTTACATTCTCTACGTCAGTTTCAAGTGTAATGTTGCTTTACTTACAATTAACTCTCTTTTTTTTTCTCGTCGTTAATTGCACACAGATCCTGCATACCGGCCGAGTAACAGACGATAATTTTATCATAAAATATAATGATTTCTTCAAGCATTCGTTCAACGACTAATTCGTTGTTTATTTTTTTAGCAGTTTTGCATATTTGCTGACGCGCAAAGTCATTTCCGTCCTCAATATTCTTCTTCGTTGTTTAACGATACGAATACGTGCAGCAGTGTCGTCCATCCGCATCCAAGAGTATTTGTCAATCGTTTTCGTCCATTCGTTAGCAGATTACCCTGAGGTAATCACCGTGTGGGGTTAATTTTTTGCGTGCTTGGCGGCATGCGCCACCTCAGCTCCTTCATTATTACGCATTTTGATATTGGAACCACAAGACTTTTCAATTAAATAAAATGACCCAATACACATTACAGGCAATTGCGTATGGGCAATCAGGTGGCAAATTTTAATATATGAGAATCTATCATTAATACCATAAGCACGCTTGACCAACGTGCTAGTAGGAATTCATTAACGGGTAACTCCTCAATATTAATTTTACATATCATTAATGTCTAAGCAGTTGCGAATCTTTCCTTTTTCAATATGCCAGTTTTTTTTAGTATACGTAACCACGAGGCAAATCTGTCCTTTTTTTTCGTTAGTATGTACTGCACAATTTTTTGTAGCATTTTCTTTTTTTTTTTACCACCGGTTTCGGTGTACATTCAATTAGCTTGTCGACCCAAGTTCATCCCGACTGTAGACATTAAAATCGACCTTTCTTCCCCGTGTAACGAGGCACAATAAATCCTGACCCGAGCTGGAAATTTTCTGCGATTCTTTTGACTTATCTTATGATGATCGGTAATGTTTAAATTAGCAAATGTAATATGGATTCGCACTGTGTTCTTCAGTAATAAATGCTACCTCGTTTTTTCACACAATCAGTTAGCAACTGCATTACAAAATCATAAAATTGTTTTATAATTTTTTTTATAAAAAATTACATTACATCAATACGTGCGTCATGCTCGTAACTATGTATTTCGTGTCGTATGCATGATGACTGGATAAAAATTTTGAGTGAATTCAAAATCGCTGTTGTCCCTTCTGATTTATTGGTGTTGAAATTTGTTTGGAAAAAAAATTTGTTTTTTGATAGATTTATATGAATTTCTTTTTTCAAGAAAAAAATCCATTTTGTCTTTCGATTTCAGTTTTCTATATTTATATTTTTTGTACGCATGGTTAATTGGTTTCTCATTATTTATCAAGTTAATGCATTCACATCTTAATAAGTATAACCGTCACACTTTATATTTTATGTTTTTCGACAATGCAGAATTTACATTGATACGTTGTATTATGTTTATCGTGAATTTGATTTACCCGCCAAATATTACAGCATTACGCGCTATGATTTCCTGATGTAACATGCATTCTCAGCCAAATCAATTTTCAGTGCGTTTACGTTAAACGATAATATTATGACTTCATGAGCGTGTATCAACATGGAGGAAACGAATTAAGTCGTATATACATACCTATGTGCATATGTTTCTATAAGCATAAAACAAGTCAAGATTTTTCCACAAGGTAACTTCCGTAGTTACAAGATTAATTTTTCACTTCTTTTTGTTCTTATGCGCTAAGAAATTCAAGGACATTTTGATGTCATTAAGGTTGTCAGTGTAGGAGATAATGATGCTAAATGACATCTTCGGCTTATATCGGGACTGATATTCCGCGAGGATACTGTTTTTCAATATGGTGGCGGATCACAATACACTTAATGGGATATTGTGAAGGGGAAATAGGATGGAAGAATCGCGTTCCTTAAAGTTTCTTATAAAGCCACTGAATTTGCGGTGTTCGCGAGCGCGTGCCTACACTTTCACCCCAGACCCGGCTACTTTCACTGTTGAAAATTAGCTCTGTCGCATATTGCGCGTTACCTTGCCATGGCGACCTCTTACCCATGATATCCTCTTTAATTTTACTCCGAACGTCCTAACTGGTTGAGATATATTTTTGTATATGCGCTCCAAGATATATTGTGGTCACTTGTATATACGTAGTTTCTCTCAATGCTCATGGCTGTTTGTTAAAGAATATCGTCAGTGCTTAGTTAACGAGGATGAACTTGCTATGGTACTGCGAGAACTTAACCTCACGGCGAAACCGATTGCCAGCGTTAGTGGCATAAGTTTTAATCACGATGACAAGTTTGCATTGTTAATTTCATTTTATCTAGAGGCAAAAAGTATTGCTCGTCAAGGTGATGTCACACGTCACGTTTATTAAGTGCCATAATTAACCCTTTGGCAGTGGCGCCAAATTCGTAACACTGATATCCGTTTAAGAGCCATATTTTGTTAATACAATATATTGATGACCAATATAAAAATATTATTTTGTACTGAACAATTTTCTTGTTTATACATACGGCTTGGAGGAATTAAATTGTTTCACCACTCAAATTCATTGCTAATTAATAAATAAATAATAACGAAAAAAAAATATTCTAGTGATGGTGCGAGAAATTAGTTATCTAGGATCTTTTAGGCCTTCGCGCCAGTGTTGGAGGGTTATACGTTATGCTTGTAGCGATGATAACTGCGTCTTTAAGATCTATGACTGTGTCGCCATCTGTCGGGAATTTTAAGAAGCTCGTGTATCAGTAGCTCCAGCTTTGACTTTGTTTTCAGCTTTTCAAAAAATACGAGATGTTCACTTGGATTGCGTAACCAATTAAGTAAAGGAATGCTTGTGAAGTTGTCTTGTAAAGGTAAACATTTCTTAAGAATTATCATGGGTAGTGGCCCAGTGTCGAGGTCAAATTTTAAAATGCTTATTAAGATTCACTATCGGCAAGACATTGCCTTTATTTAGTATACGTGCAGGCTGGTTTCGTGAAGAGTTTTCATTTGACAGAATTTTCTTTCCAGGAAGTCTGCACAATATATCAAATTGAATAACTATTGAAAAATTTTTCAATGGTAAATGCACCACTACGGCTTACGCTCTGTGCAAGTAAATTTTATCATTCAGAGACGCTACAAGATGAATTCGTACTTTAAACTTTGTCTTCAATATGACTCTACAATAACGTAGATCGATAAGTTGGATATGCGTCGATAACAGGAAGCTTTCAAATTTGCTAAAAACGAGATTTTAATGAATGACGTTTATTTTGTAGAACGAAGGAAATCTTTCATTTATCTACCATCGATAATTATCTTTAATGAGTACAAAATCATTATGCAATCAGTTAGCGATTTTTAATGTAAATTCAATATTTATAGGTAAGTTTTTTGCCTAACAATACAAATATTAGTGTCTAACAAGGATAGATTTTTTTTTAAACAGTTGGTTAAACAAGATGTTGTTTAAATAATTTTTACACTGCTAGTACGATTTTGCAAGTTGGCTTGTAGCGACAAAATAATTAATATAATAACGATCCAAAGAGAAAAAGTTATCAGCAAGGGTATTATGGTCAAGTAAAATATATTTTTAGAATAATTGCAAATTGATTGCAAACAGTATTTTGTAATCACATGTTGTCAGTCATTCTTCCAATTTGGAAAGCCATTTTTCTGCGCAGTACTTCTAGTCCGTAATGCGGCATTGTGATCTGTAGTATACTGTAGAAATAAACAGTTTAATGTAATCATAATTTTCTATAATATAATGTAACGTTTATAGATAGTGCAATTTCGTACGCTCCTTGTGGGCTCCACGTAGTTAGCCCCTCATCTATAACGGATTTGAATGATTTTTTTTGCAATCGTTTGTAGGTGTTTAATATTGCATCCACGACGTTTGATAGTTCATCATTTATTTATAATATTAAAATTAATTTTCTAGGGAATTTTTCTTTAGGTTAGCTCCTCATTCAAATATTTTATATTCGTGTTTTGCCCATATGCAATCGTTTGTAGGTGTTTAATATTGCATCCACGACGTTTGATAGTTCATCATTTATTTATAATATTAAAATTAATTTTCTAGGGAATTTTTCTTTAGGTTAGCTCCTCATTCAAATATTTTATATTCGTGTTTTGCCCATATGCAATCGTTTGTAGGTCGTTCGTAGGTACTTCATATGTAATTGATGATATGAAATAATTGATTCTTTAATCGTAAATAATGAAAGAAATTTGATCTAGGGAATTCCATAAACTGCTTCAAGCGCGCATGCGTGAAAACTTCAATATGTCAAATCACATTTTACATGTACTCATCTGTATATTATTATTAAATATTACAATCCGAGATATCAGATATTTATTAGTGCTCTTTTCTTAGTTCTGAAATATTTACAATTGTACAGTTCAGTATTCACTATTTCATATTCATTAAATTGTATAATTAAGTGGATGATTATAAAGAAAGATCGATCAGTACTCTTAAGGTTATATCATAAATGCAGCAAACGAATGACCGTGGTTGACGCCATATTGATTTCGATTTATTATCCTCGCCGTGTTTAGTCAATTCGCACGTAGTGCTATAGCCACGGTCTTACATACAGGACTTGAAACTCTGGTGGTGGGGGTGGGTCGCCTAGTGAAGCAATTCCGAATAGCCGCATAGAGTCGCTGTGATCGAGTAATCGTATAGACGAGGGACGCGGGAAGCCGGAAGGAACACTCCATCTCTGTCCTATTCGTGGTTTCCACGGTGGCATCGCTTGAATATTGACTATAAGTAGCTACGCGAAACAGTTTATAATGTCTAGCAAAAAGCGTAAATGCCGATAGACTGACTTTGTTAACTGTCTGCACGATTGCAGGTTATGTTTACCTGCGGTACCCGATAACAGCGACACTGTTTGAAACTAAATTGAACCTCAGTAAGCGACCATACCCCCACCACTGAAATTCGAGGAAGTTTCAAGACCTGTATGTAAGACCGTGGCGTCAACTGAAGTTTCTTAGGTAGATCGCAGTGCTCTCCTCAGAGCATTGACAATGTTTCCTTACGCAACGGGCTCGGCGGAACAGTGAGCACTAATATGCCGGAGCCTACGACTAAATTCTTAACAACGATTTTATGTAATTACTATGCTTTATCCCAGAGGGCATAAATCGAGCTCAACCACTTTACAACGATTTCACTGTGCGTTAACCTTTCGGATATATGTAAGTGAGGCTTACTTTCTTACTACTCACTGTCGATGTACTTTTTTGAATGCTGAATATCTTAAATTGACTTCGAATGCATTATTTAAATAATTAAAATGTTAGATTGATTAGCGTGAAGTGTTAATCATCTGTCGGATTTTATTTATATTATTTTCCGCAGATTGACTTTCGAGAGATGTTTTTCATCTATCGGCTATTGTTGACACCATTATCGTTTGTTTGTATCGAGTGTGCTCTCAGTACAGGAGCACTGAGAAGTTGATCGATTTGTAAAGTTACAATAAAGAGTCGTGTTTTATTTACATAAATATAAATATAACTGAAACACTGGATTATGCTCTCCTACGTTATATAGAAAAGTACTTACAACTAGTCTAGGCATTGCAATTGTTTCTTAAATTATACTTGAGACAAGACTTACAAGCTAAATGCATGTCATATTGTCATTTATTTGTTTTTATGACAAAATAACACATATTCGTTATTACGTATTAAATGGATAAGTGAGCTTTATTCGCGAAATTAGAGAACTAAATAAAGACCTTCTTGATTCTTATCCATTTTATCCGTATACACTTGAACAAGTATGAATTCTTCCTATCGTTTATTTCAATAACAATTTTTTTTTTCCAATAGGCTCTGTCTTTCAATTCTTTTATCCTTGCCCCTTTGTACTTTCATTGTTGTCCTCCATGCGCGTCTAATCAATTAATTTTCGCATTTTCAAACTTAAAGATCTATCAATTAACAATTGCACTTTGTGTTTATTCTACTTATTGAGAATAGTCTGCAATACATTAAAACGTTTAAGTGTTATTGTTGCTAAAGCCGTTTCCGCGTCTTATCATCCTGTAAAATACGGATGACTAGCATCGCTGAACCTTTGCAATTGAAAAAACAAAAACTCACGTAGTCGTAAGACAGTATTGCTTCGATTTTGTTCTTTTCTTTTTATCACACTCCATTAATAAAAAGGAATTTAGTCAATCCCTGACTGATTCTCTCCTACGACGATCGAGAGATTGTTCCTCGTCCAGCGAGAGTTGGCAGATTGAATATCCTTGGATAATGATCAGTTATCTCAATTTATCAGATAACCTGCGTGACTTGATTTTGACCATATTCTAAGTCATTGCTTGGTGGATATCATGACGATGCTAGTTATGAAAAATTTCTTACTTCCGGTACGTCATAAGTAATTCCAAAATATAAAAGAATATAAAATATATTACGTGGCGAAATATTCGCTCGAGTCTTGACATGATATTGCCCACAAAAAATTACTGGCAGCAATTTGAACTAATGATGAATCCTAAATGTACGTTAATGATACATCATTGCTTAAAGCTTCTGTTATCAATGAAGACCCTGTTTCTCAGTCCGTTATCAGATATGTATCCAGTGCCCATTTTATACTGATTTGCGTATATGACAGTATTTTTCTTCTCGTCTGCATTAACCCCATTCACAATTCCATTCTGAGAGTATTCCTCATGACGCTTCTTCGCATTGGCAATCTTCAGCTGCTTCTTGTTGTACGCCTCCCGGTAGAAGTTCCTGAAGAGGAAATAGAACATGACAGCATGCATTCCGATCCACCAGATGAAAGCCTTAGGGTAGTTGCAGTCGATGAAGAGAAGTTGAAACGCGTGAATTATCACAAGGACAAACTGGACCATCTGCAGTGCAGTCAGATATTTCTTCCACCAGAGATAAGGTTGGATCTTTGGTCCCAAGGCAGCCAACAAATAATACGAATACATAATAATATGTACGAAAGTATTCAGCAAGCCAAAGAATGAGCTGTGGCCACCTAAATATGAAAAAAAAAATTATTGTATACTTCAAAATAAATATTGTGTCGACGTAATTAATTAAAAAATCATTTGAAAAACATACCAGGGGTAAATTTGACGCCAAACCAAACGGACATGGGCATACATCCATGATGGATAACGTGAAGCGTCGAAATATGATCGTTCTTCTTTCTCAAAACGAAGAAAATAGTGTCGAGAAATTCTGTGAATTTTGATATATAGTACCACCAGCATCCTCTGGCCATCCTCATTGCTAGAGGATTGTTTGAGTAGTCAACCGGTTGACATCTGAACGAGTAATGTCCCCACCACCCGGACGCTAAACTCTACTCAACAGTTAAATAAGAATAATTAGTACCTTGTAAAATTTGCCAAGTCAATATATATCCACATTAAATCTACGGAAACGATGGACGTCATATACATACCTCATAAAATAGCCACGTGGAGAATATAACTTGAAATAGGTTATATACGATCATTACTCGTCTCAGGTCTAATGGTTTTCGATTTTCCATCATCTTAGGACCCAAGACCTTGACGAAATATGCGTACGAGAGACATATAGCTAAGGTTGGAAATGGGCTGCTCATCATGGCCCAATTGTTCACCCTGGGATCACTTTTGTTATCCATAAGATCCCGGTAACCGTCAGCGATGAGCCTGACAAGGTGCGCCATCTGGAATAACAAATTTCAATCAACTTCTCCCGCTCTCCATCGGTTATTCAGGATTACACGTTTGGCTTGATTTCTACAATGTAGTCGACCTCAGTTTCGCATAAAAAATTAAGCTCGGCGATGATGACCTTTGTCGTAGGATTTTCTTTTCACTTTTACCATTTAACGATATCCATTGCACGCTGATACTTCAAGATACAAAATATACTGTAGGATGGACAGAGAAATCAAAGTACGTTATCAACTTTGTACTGCTACCACTAATGTACCATAAAAAATGTTTCACTTTCACGAATCCTAATAAATTAATAACTATTATCTAGAGTTGATAGACATTTCCTAGTCACGCGTGGATTTCAGGAATCTGTCTGATGTATATACACTGGCATTCCTAAGAAAATATCCTGCTTTTCCTTTCACTGAAATTTTCTCGAATATACCAAAACATCTTACGTGCTTTACAGATTCCTGTAATTCAACGTCCGGAAATAATAGTAGGAAGAAAATATAAATAAAGTCAAAGATTTCGAAGACCTGGGATGTAATTGATCTCAGACTGGATTCAGTAGTCTGGTAAAATCTTATAGTAAATTTCTGGTAAATTTTCCACGCCTTTAATGACAGTCCAGTCTAGTCGTGCTGTGATTTCATAACAAGTAGCGACATGAAAAAGAGGCTTCGCCAAAGAACGCAACGGCATGTTTGTACGCTATAAAGAAAAAACTGCGCTACGATTCTGTAAGCACGATCTATCGAACTTGAATGACATCCTGAGGAATCTGAACATAGTTACAAAGCAAACAATTGACAGTTACTTTGTTAATCGCGCGATAAAAGGAAGCAAGAAGAAATTTATGACAAGATAGTACGATGACGTCATAGTTATCTGTAAATGATTTATATTTTTAACGTTCTTTTGTTTTGATACTTGTTTTAAAGTGGCGTGCGTGTGTCGTGATTTCAAATCGGTCGATTGAACTGATCATTGTAGCCAAGGACGCGTTCAGTCAACCGTTAAAACAAAAAAAAAATAATGTCAACGTAAATGGAGTAAAGAAATAAATGTGCAATTTTCAAAATGGAATCGGTTGGATGATGCAAGTGGAATGCATACAGTCAGGGTGCAACCTGGATAAATTAATTGCAATTTGTTGTCGAGCCAGGTGCCTCATGCATGACGATCGTCCATTTATTTATGTAAAAAATATCTTTGTGCTTTTCAGCAAATTAAAAACTATAGCTCGTGTTAGTTATTTTTTTAACAAATTGATATACACAATCTCAATTCAAAATTTCACAGACGTTTTTCAAGTCTTATATATATATTTCACTAAGTGGCATTTACAGAAAATTCAAATTTTCGCAAAGCTAGTAGAATCTTTCAATTTGTGTCATTCGATGACGGATGACATTTTAAAAAAATTCATTTATTCAAAGACACCTACGACTCCGCTCGAATATTTCGATCGAGCTAGCCCGTGCTTTAATGAAGACCCAGGACACGAGTGATACATCGCGGTGGATCTGATCACGAGACTTTTTATGAAATCATTGACAATGCTATCGTAAACTGTTTGTATATTTTATCTATTAACGTCAATACGTTATTATTTAATATTTTTGTCGTAACTTCCTTGACCTTGTTTCAAAAAATTATACTCGATACGAGACACTCCAGTATGTTGAACTGATGCTGTGATCCGGTTCTGGAAACTTCGACTCGATTGAGGTAATTGATAGAATAGCTACAACTGCGTGCGCGCGCGTGTGTTTGTGTGTGTGTGTGAGAAAGAGAGAAGATAGAAAATAAAATACATAAAAAACTATTCCGAGTAGTGACGATGACTTGCGAATTAATCAAAAGTGTATAGGAAGGATTCGTGACCGTTAAGATTTGATACGTTTAAATATCATTTCGGATTTCGAAAATGTTGGGGATTCTAAAAAAATTAAATTTTTATAGCTCAATATTTACATGAAATTAAAGAAAAATATGCAACCATCTTAAACAGACTCAATAAGTGAATTACTTGAATCGGGACAGCCGGAACAGACACTATTTTATTTTTTCAAACTTGAAATTTATTGTTCCGCGAAATACGAATACAAAACCGGTTTTATCATTCCACTTGCACTCTTATACTTAAGCTAGTAGAAAACTGCACCATATAAAATCTACAAGGAGAGTAGGGAACGACAGGTTCGCAGACGCAGAAAACGAGCTTCCCGTGACACTTCCACTACGAAATAAAAAGTCTTTTCAGTTATCAGCAAATAAAATCTCAATAACGTAGAGTATCCCTTATGCGAACGTGAACGTCATTCTATATCTGAATCACGTTCACAGGTAAATAAATAGATAAATGGATCAACGAGTATGTCAAAGTTAACACTAAACCTACCGACATATTATATATACTTATTTCTACCGATGGCTGTCAAATGACCGCTCTTGAAATAAACATTATAGTCTTTTCCAGTTGATTGTAATTAATACAGAATTTAGCATAGTCGTGCAGTAAGTTCAAGAAAAATAAAAACCTGCAGTTTAACAATTTTGGTTAAAGTCTCAAAAGCGGTCATTTGACCGCTCTGGTAGGTTTAGTGTTAAAACTAAATCCAAATTTGTTCATTTATAATCATCAACCATAACGTTATCAAGAAAAACTTTATAAAGTTAAAATCCTTATATTAAATTCAAATAAAATTTGGTACTCACCCTGAATAAAGGTATATCTCAGATCTTCCTAATTTTTTATATACTGTCGTAGTGACGTTCTCTTCTCCGATGAACAGACAAAAATTTGTCGAACACCACGCTTTGACCCACCGATTATGATCGTACCGATCGAACAGAATCGAAGAACAGAAAGAAAATTGTATATGGATTCGATCAGGAGTAATTGTTATCGTTACGGTATTCTGAGACGTACTGAACTAAGTTGGGCCAGACCTGGTCTTATATTGGCTAAGAGTGACACCTACGCTACACCTTAGAACCACGCGAACTGCCTCCCTCCATCAACACTCTTTTACGGTGAGAATCAGTTTGCTAGCCGCACGATGAATTCTTCGCTTGCGTTATCACTCGTGATACACAAGCAGTGGATACCAGTCTTGCCACATGCCATCATGTCCCACCGGTAATATTCCTAAGTCACTCGTTTACTTTCCAAGTCTCGTTAGAAATCCTCTTCCATGTTTATTCAATTATTTATTTCGCTCGGACGAGCGTGACCTAACCTATACGATTTACTATGTTAATTGATACTTTTAGACAGTTAATAAAAAAAAACCTTGACATTGGTAGTCATTTCGTAAGTCAATTTAAACAATGTTATGCAGAGTCTAGTTTATTTAGTTTTTCCCTTAGCGTTTCGTTGTCACAGTGGTGCAAATTCCCGTCAGTCAGGTGCGCACTGGTGTGAAGTTGGTTGCAATCGATTGAAATAATGGTTTTCAGTCGATTAAAACTATTGACTGTAATTATACCAGGTTACTCAGCCCAAACGCACCACCTGAATATTGTTTTACCATAAGACTCAAATGAGCGCGCTAACTTCAGGTTATGCGTTTCTACTGAATAACTCTTTATACGTGTAAGTGAATGGAGATTTTTATGGGAAAAATAATTGTATTAAAGTTAATAAGGTTCGATGAAACAATTCAAATTTCTTGAATGTTCCTTCTGACGTTACCAGAACAGAAAAACGTTCCTTTCGTGTATGCACACCCTGACGTCCAATTTCGTTTTTTATTATTGTTGAATAATAGCTTTAGTAGTACAAGAGTTCCTAGTAGAGGCAGTATACCCAATAAATGATAAATTTAATGCCAGCCAGAATCTTCTTTTTCGTTATTGCCTGTATTTTTCCTATGAGGTTTCCTCTACGAATCTTTAATTCATAATAGTCAATCATCTAGAAACCGGTTGTTTTGATTGTTACAAAAAACTTAACAACAGGAATGTAGTTTTTTTCTTCGAGCGGCACTTGTCTGACATTGGCACATGCACATCATCATAGTTACTTAAAACAAACAAAATATTTTAGTGCTCCGGTTGCTAATTATTTTACTCTATTCCCAATTGTAGTGTTTTAACTATATAACTGGAAATAGTGGGTTGTGTCAGAGTATGGTTAAAGTTATCATAGCCATACGAAAAGAAATAGACTAACGAAATAATATGTAAAAATTGTAATATGCTTTAATTACTAATTATTTGCTGTATTTTTAAACTTGGTAATTCAATTTTTCACCGGAAATGTCGTCCCACCACAACTAATTTTGTCGTTGTCTCCGCATATTTTATCCTTGAACTTCCTCAAAGGTGGCACCCTACCACAAAAACATTAATTCTTATGTGTCAGCACGTTAGCCTTTATAGGGTCAAGAGTGCACAATGTTCGATTTTTTATCATAATTGTATCGATTTTCGTTTCGTTTAGTTTTGATCTGTAAATGTAGCAGCGAGCAGGCGAGGTATCCTAGGCCCTTGCGCAAGGAATACTTTCTTAGCGAAGCCAAGCATTAATATGGGGTGTTGATTAAAGTTAGAACAAAGAAAACCTAGGAGTTTTCCAAAGAAATGTCGGAATCGGTGTTAATTGATCGTTGCTATGGTCTACAGTCCAAATTCAATGTGTATGCAGTCTAATAAATAAATCGCGTGCATAATGACGCCTGACGTGTAATTGTAAGTCACAGCCAGCTCTTCCGACTGAGGGTATTCTGAACGTTTTATTTACCATGCGTGTAAAATGTTAACGAAAATCATAAATAATAGAATTTTTACGGACACTATTTTCCTAAAACGGAACTCGGTACACATTTTGCAAGGTCAAAAATAATTTTGACACCACTTTCGCAATTATGAATTCAAAAATGAAAGAGTAACCCAATCAAAAATTGTTTGCATTTTTGAAATTCTCATTGAACATTTTTGGGTCGGATCACTCGTTTAGTTCATAATTTTTAACATGGTAAACAAGCCGTATTCA